GTGTTTGGTTTGACCTTGCGGTGAGGTGCTGGGGAAGGGGTGGGAGGCAGATTTACAGCCACTACACACCCGTGTGAGGCCAGGAAAGCAGGGAGCGGGGGCGGGCCAGAGGCCAGGTGGGGACAAGGCGAGGGTGAGACTTTTCATGTCGCGTTTTCCAGTACTTTTTTATTTTTGAAGTATTTAGATGTAACGCCTGTTCAAGAACTGGAGGGGTAGAATGTGGACTCTTTTAAGTAGAAACGTAAAATCACTGCTAGAAATAAAAAAAATAAAAAAAAAAAGGAGGAAAACACTCAAACACACCCACCACATCAAAGCCCACCTCCCCACAGGCTCCTGCCTCCTGCGTCAGTCGGCTCCTGAAGTCTGTTCTCAACAACCAGAGTGTCCCTGTTACAGCAAAGTCCCACCAGTGTCTCTCCAGCTCACAGCCTCGCTGGCTCACCGTCTCACGCACAGTAAAAGCCAAAGTCCTCACTACAGCGTTCGTGGCCCTGGAGGACTGGCCCCATGTCATCTCCGACCCTCTCTCCCGCCGCTGGGCCCCTGCGGAGTCTCTCCAGCCACTGCTGGCCTTCTCACACCCACCAGCCTTGCCCCTGCCTCGGGGCCTTTGCACAAGCTGTTCCCTCTGTCTGGAACTCTCATCTGGTTCTCTGAGTGGACTGCTTCCTAACGTCCTTCAATCTCTGCTCAGAGGTACCCTGAGGAATCAGGGCCGGGGTCGGGGAGTGTGTATGTGGGGGAGGGGGTCCTCTGGGACTGTGGCCGGAAACTTGGAATGGAGAGGCAGGGGGTTGGGACGCCCCAATGCCCTGGCCAATAGGGGATTTCGAATCGAGAGTCCTAATGTGTGACCTTGAGCAAGTGCCAGCCTTCGAGAGCTTCGGTTTACTCATATAAAAAATGGGGCTGATCGGTTCTGCCACTTCGGGTTTCTGTGGAAAGTAAGAGAGGCGATGCATCTCAAGCCGGGAAGGGGCGCCTGGGACACAGGGAGGGCTCCGGACAGGGAAACAGGCCCGCAGCTGTCCCCTCCCTCTCCCCTCCACCACGTGGGCTGGAAACTCTGAGTCTGCCCCACAGCTGTGTTCCAAAGTGCTGGACGCTGCCCTCTCAGGAGACGGGGCGGATTTTCCCCACCCCTGCATGTCCCCCAGGCCGGGGCAGCCAGCTGGCTCCTCGCCCCATCACTGGGGCAAGTGGAAAAAAACTCCGGCCAAGGAGACACTCTGGCTCCACTGGCCGTGTGACCTTGGGCAAGTCAGCACCCCTCTCTGGACCTCCATGCTGTTGCCCACCCAGGGCTGAGGATGGGGTCAGAGCTCTCTGGAGAGTCCACTCCCCACTCCCATGCTGGTCATATGCAGCGATTTTAAATGCATTTGCGCTCAATTGGCTCTGCCGAGCCTGCGCGTGGGATGGCGGGGGTCTTAGGTCCACTTTGGCAAATAGGGAAACTGAGGCTGAGGAGGAGACGCTATGGGCCCAAGGTGACCCAGCCGGGAAAGGACAGAGGCAGGACTGGACTCTGGGTCTGTGTGAGTCCTGTGATGGGGAGAGAGGGAGGGGGGACAGAAGGGGGGAGGGGAAGGCGGAGAGAGCTGCTGAGCGGGAAGGGAAGGTGGGAGAGGAGCAAGAGAAAGACAGACAGAGAGACAGACAGACAGACAGACACCGAGAGACACAGGCAGACGAAGAGACAGCCGGAGACTCAGCTCTGAAGGGGGAGTTACGGAGACTCTGTTTCCCGTTGCATCGTGTCCCCCAGACCTCACCTTGCCCAGGTCCTAACGCCCAGTCCCTAGATACTCTAAGACAGGGTCTTTGCAGAGGTGATTAAAATGAGGTCACCGGGGCGGGCCTTAGCCAACGTGACTGGCATCCTTATAATGAGGGAATCTGGACATCGTAAACACAGAGGCTGAGACACTGGAAAAGGCATGAGGGCTCTGGGGTTCTGGGGACCAGGGCAGGGTGGGGGGCCTGGCTCCTCAGAGACCCCATCCTTTTGCCCTCATTGGCTTCACCTGGGCCTCAGTTGTTTGGCAAAGCGAAGCTTCGGCCTGGGGGAACCGGGGTTTGACGCCCCTGTCCTGCCTTCTTCCCACGCCCCCCACCCACGAGCAGCAGATTCCAAGGGTCCTACGCCCATCCTCCCACTCCGAGTCGGGGGTATTTTCAGCTGGGGTTCCTTGGAGATGAGGGTTGGGGGCTCGTCTGGCTGAGGAGGAATGAGGGAGCCCTTGTCAGTCGCCAACACCCCTCACCCCCTTTCCAGACCAATGTCTGGTCTCAGGATCAGAAACAGTTCCCAGGAGAGGAGGAGAGGAGGGGATATAGACTGGGCGGAGAACACACGGCAGGTCAGAAAAGGGTGCATTTAATGATCAGCACCCTCAAGGAGAGATCTTTCTTTTCCCCACAGCCCTCTCGAACTCCAGCACACTCTATAGCTCCCCACTGCCGGCAGCACCAACCAAGCCCAGGTTCCCCTGAGGACCCACAATCTGTAGCTCCACTTGGAAAAAATCTCAGCCCCTACTGTTCCAGCAGGGAAGCCCCACTCCTGCGTGATCTCCAGAACCTGCTGGACTCATTCCCACCTACACTTCTCTGCCCTCGCGGTGAGAGAGGCCCTTCCCCTTCTTGCCGGCCCCACATTCTCCTCACACCTCTAGCTCTTCCCTGGAAGTGCCATATCCGTCCAGTCCCGTTGAAGTTAAGTAGCGCATGCTACTTCCTGTGCCCAGAACAGCCCTTCCCCACTGCCTCTCCAGCACTTGCCCCTCTCTCCAGTGATTGTGTTCATTTACTCATTTATTTGCTCTATGTCTGTCTCCCCATCAGTCTGGACCCCCTTTGTCTTGTTCGCTCTGTGAACACGCACCCACAGTACGTATTTGGACAATTAATATTGAAAAACAAAAGCTGAGTAATTCCCAGACTTCTCTAGAACCGTGGCTTTCACAAATTTCATCAGTGACTAAGAAAGTCATTTCACCTGGCAGCCCCATAAACACATGTAGAAATGGTGCAAACGATTCGAGGAGCAACTCTTACCGTGACTGTACTTTCTACTCCATTCCATTCCGAGAAAAAAGTGGTTGCAACCTTCCAATTTCATAACCCACTAGTGGGTAACAACCATACAGCCCCAGAGAGAATGTCCTCAAATTCTTGCTGCAGAGGTCCCTGGAACTTTCCTGGGTCTACCCCCTCCCACACCCACTCCAGCTTGCTATCCCACTCTTTCTGTCATTCTGGGGCCCTCCAGCCCTCCTTTTGCCTAAGGGAGCTGGAGCCACGGTGCTATCTATCTCCCAGGAGCCATAATGAACACTCCAGACCCTGTGATCCTCAGAGAGGTATGTCTCCTGCAGCACCTCCCTGAGAGGCCCTCCCCAGCCTCCTCAGGTCTCTCTGTTGGCATGGGGCCTGCCCCAGAGGAGTGACCTGGAGGGGAAGGGGAAGCGGAAGGGTGAGGCCGGCAGGTGGCAGCTGCTGCAGTCTTTCCCATGGAAAGTTACAGCACCCCCAACCCCCAGACCGACCTTCCTCTCGGATGACAAACAGCGCTGTCATCGCCAAACTACTGCGATGTGTAGACGCCGTGTTCAGACACACGGCCGCTCCGCGGAATGGGGGGGTCTTGCTCTCATTTGACGGATGATGAAACTGAGGTTCGGGGAAGGGGAGAGACTCACCCCAGATCTCAAGTGACCGAGAAGGGATTTGAACCCAAGCAGTCAGACTCTCAAAGGGACAGAAGGCAGACAGGTCAGCCTACTTCAGGGTCCCTTCCCTTTCACAGGCCTTGGTTTCCCTTGGAGAAAGGGGAGGCCTGGAAGAGGTGACCTCAAAGGTTGTATCCAGATCGGACCTTTGCTGGCCTCAGGTCATCATGGTCACCCCCTAGGCCATGCCACAGTGACAAAAGCAGAGCTGGGTTCTGGTGCCTGCCCCATCTCTTAGGCATCATGACCCCACACTTCACCTGGTCTTTTCCCTTTTAGTCTGCCCCAAGGTCAAGGTCTTTGCTCCCCGCTCTCATTCCCACTCCCTCAGGGCCTGGTCCTCTGCTGAGACTGACCAACTCTGGGCTCCAGGACGGGCGGCCCACAGGCTCACTGGGTCCCTATCCCGAGGCCTTAACCCAGGGATTTCCATACTTGGTGTGACCTGAGCTCCCTTCCTCGATGAAATCCCGCTGGGAAATCCCGCCAATTCATAAAAGAGATCCAGAAAGAACCACTCCGGTTAGAACAAGAGCAGAGAGGCTGCTCCTGCGTGCCAGACTTCTCCTTACCCACCACCCCCTCCTGCACTCTCCGAGGTCACCCCAGGAGTCCTCGGAGACCAGTCTGAAAACCACAGTATTAGCCCAAAGTAATGGTGCTGATTCAGGTGTGGCCTATAGGGGAAATGTCTAAGACAAGTGGCTAGTGCTTGCTGGATCCTGCCCATGAGACGGATCGCACGGAGGCAGGGCGGAAACCCTCTAAAATTTCGAAGACAGTGCAGACTCCAGAATCCCGCAGGGCTCAGTTCCAATCCCTGCTCTCTACCTGGGTGACTCTCAGAAGGTAGCACATCTCTCTCTGCCTCAGTCTCCCCATCTGTAATATGGGCATGATAGATTTGAGGTAATAAATGATGCTGATAAAGTTTAGCAAGTCGTAAACATGGAACACAGACGCTTACTGTTGTTGCTCCGGCCCCACCACTTGCGAACTGACTATATATGGTCTTGGGACGTTATTAACCCTCCCCGATCAGTTTCTTCATATGTAAATTGGGGACGATGATGGCACCTACCTCATGGGGTCCTCGTGCATGGAGACAACGAGTAAGAATGCGTTAAGGTGCTGAGTTAACCTTTGGCACAGAGGGAATACTTAATAGATGCTAGACATTGCTTATGATTATTATTATGACTGTAATTCTTTGCTCCTAGCCCTGGTGGGCGGCCACCCCTGGGGTCGGGGTTGTCTTACCCTGGCGGGATGGAGGCGCGTGTGCTCACGCTGGTGGCGCGCTGGGGCCCGGGCCGGTTGAGGTTGTTCTGGCCGGGGGTGGGCGCACCGCTGGGGGC